GGCACGTACTGCATGGAGCACTGGGTGTTATACGAAAACAATGGATCGTGGATCACTACATCAAAAACTAACGATGTATTGTATGGTGACTAACATAATATAATAGAATTAAAAACTACAAAAAAACAAAAATAGGTGTTTTCCTGTATTGTACATATTATATATACTGATGAATCCAAAGTGTGCTTTAACTTTCTTTAATTTTTATGATAATAAAGACATACATTTGTAAGGTTTTTCTACTATAATTATAAACAAAAACTTGGTTAATTACAATTTAGTCCTCTTGGCTTTACCTAGAATAAAAATACACTTCAACCCTTTTATATTTGTCAATTTAGTATTTCATGTTTCATGTAGTTTTGGAGCTCCTTTAAGATAGTTACTAAGTACTTGCTAATATTGTATTAATGGGAAGCAGTTCTAGAACTGGACATTTGAGTTCTGGGATTTTCGTTGTTGTTACTGTTGTTAAGGAAAAGTAACTAGGCATTAGTAATCGTTCAGGTACTAATTGATGTAGTGTGCTAGTTATTTTCTGTGGATCCCTTCTTTTATTACAGATCTCCACAGGATAAAAGAACACTTCTTGTGAATTGTCAGAATAAGAGTCTTTCACAGTCTTTTGAAAATCTTCTTGATGAACCTGCATATGGTTTAATACAAGTATGTTTCTTAATCTATTTTGTATTTATCTGTTAATCTGACACCATTATTTCATACACCTCCTACCTCTCTCTCACTTTCTCAGAGATTATACAGAACAAGGCAAGTGTCTCTGTGTGTAAAGTTTATGGAACTGTAATTTCTGTAATTTTTTAGAAATAATATGTTTCATATTATTTGTAAGACTCAGAAGCTTCCTTGGTTCTTAGTTCCTCTTAAAGCAATGTTTCCCTTTATTGTAATACTGAAATTGGACATTAGTAGATTTTTATTATCATAGCTTTTACTGATTAGTTGCAAGGTCACTGGGTAAGCCACTTTGAATTCATTAATGATAAACTTAGTCAAAAATATGGTTTGAATTTTTATTTTCCATTTTAAGTAGGTTCATTTGGGGCATGATAATCTAATTCCCCCTAAAGTGTTTGAGTATATTCTTACATTTGGCTAAAAATATGCACTTAACACAGGCAGAAATTAAGTTAACTTATTTTTCACTCAAATTTTTATGTAAAGTAATGAAATGGTTGTTTATTGATTCACTTATTCACTCAACAAATGTTTGGGTGCTTACTCTGTCCCAAGTATCCTCTTCTTGGTTCTGAAGATAACAAGATAAAAGGGGAACTTTTGAAGAAGGAGGACAAGATAGCTAGATACTGATTAAAGTAGAAAATTAGGCAGCAGTTTTTATTGTGAAAATAATCATTAAAAGACCTTTAAAAAAAGTAACTGTTTTTGCTAAATATGAATAAGTAGGCAGTTTGGGATTTGGAAGTAACCCTAGCAATAGAAAAACCTTTTGCTGTTTTCCAGGGTAGCACCATCCAGAACAAATTACACTCATTGGCATGATTTATTAATCATATAATTAGATTAAAATGTCAGCTGATACTTAAATATGGTGAGCTTTAAAGCTTAGCTATCAAATATTTTCTGTTAGACTAGTGTGGTTCTGAACACTTGAAGAAATATTTTTTTTTATAAAGGCAGGACTGCTAGACAGAAGAAAGCTGTTGTGGGCCATTCATCAGTGGAAAGTAAGCACTGCATATATTTGTGATGTATGCAGATTGAATAAAGCCTGCAAATCATTTGTTTATCTGCAATTCAATCAGTAGCATTACCTTGCCGTGTAATATTCTGTTTTAACCAAATGAAAAGAATGGCTTAGAAAATATAAATTTTTCTTCCCAGAAAAAAAATAAAATTGTAAAATAATCTTAGAACACTCTGTTTTAGTTCTGATTTCCCCTCTTTAAAAAACGTGGCCCTTTTGCCCATCATAAGGTATTTTTATTCTTCATTTGAATTAATAATGCTAATATTTTTCTTCTTACTACATAGAAAATTAAAAAGGATCCTTATACAGCAACTATGGTAGGATTTTCCAAAGTCACAAACTACATTTTTGATAGTTTGAGAGGCAGTGATCCCTCTACACATCAACGACCGCCTTCAGAAATGGCAGATTTTCTTAGTGATGCTATTCCAGGTTTAAAGATAAATCAACAAGAAGAACCAGGATTTGAAGTCATCACAAGAGTGAGTGAAGATTTATATTAATATATCTTTTATATTTTAACAGGAGAAATGCTTTTTAAACATGTACTGAATGCTGTAGAAATAGAAACTCAATTTTGGTTATATCTGCCTCTTATAATCCTTATAACTTTTTTACTAACTAATGTATCTAACAACTAATACTTGTTTTGCCACCAAATTCTTGGGTTGTTCTTCGTCGATTACTACTTATACTTTCTGTTTAATAAGTTGGATCTCTTTTCTTTGATTACTTTTTGATAATAATGAGCAGGTTGTTTGTTTCATTGAGTGCATAGCAGTGAGTGAATAGTGAGCCTTACATATTGTTCTTAGTTCTGTTCCTAATTTATATGTTTTCTCAGTAGGGACCAGAGGCAGCTAGTCAGGACACTACTCTAGGGCTTTTATGCTCATGTGAGTCTTTTCTTTTTTAAGTAAGATGGATCTTGGCCCTGAATTATGGCAAATTTTTATATATGCTCAGCAAGACTTTTGAATTTGCTACAATTCTAGGCTGTACATAGTTAAAACATTATAAATATCTGAATTGTAATATTTAAAGGGTTTATCTTACAAATGGCATTTTAAATTACCAACACCTGTTAACTGAATAAAAAACTGTAGAAAATACCAAGTGGAGCTAGTGGATCATGAATCAATTCTGAGAGCTACAAATTGTAGTTTGGAAGAAAAGCTAATTTTAGAATATGATTAGTGGAGTAATACTTTTTAAATAATAAAGCATACCATTTAATTTGAAGGGTCTCTTATGGAATTTACATGTCGAATGTTTTGTACTTACGTAATTGAAACTCAAGATAGCAAATGTAATCCTGTCTCTGAATTTATAACCCTGTTATTTGTATGTTTAGTAGGAAGGAAAATGTATGGAATGCTATTAAAGTTCATAAACTAAACATTGGAAAATAAGGGAAGATATTAGAAATGTTAGAACTCATGCCTGAGTAATAAATAGTATTTTAATGGTTTCCATGTACCTTGATTTAATTTCACTGGTTAAAAGTGTACTCCTTATTGCTTATCTTCTTCTTTTAGATTGATTTGGGAGAACGACCTATTGTTCAAAGGAGAGAGCCAGTATCACTGGAAGAATGGACTAAGAACATTGATTCTGAAGGAAGAATTTTAAATGTAGATAATATGAAGCAGATGATATTTAGAGGGGTAAATACCTTAATATGGAGGATATTTGAAACTGCTGATATTTAAATTTTTTGTGTTGTGTGGGAGGTGTGGAGGTAGTCATGGAATGAACTCCTTTTTGATGAATGATGCCTTAAAATCCTGTAGGACAGTGTGAGGTCCTTGTGATATCCCTTAAGGTTGGTTGGGGAGGTGGGGACTGAATACCATTAAGCCTAGGGAAGAATAGTCTTCCTTACCTAAAGTTCTGTGGGTAATGTGAAGGAGGCATGTATGTACCCCAGTGGTAGTTGCCTTATCTAATAAGGATTGGACTTAGACAAACTAATCAGTCCTGCTGCCTTCTATATAATCTGTATACTCTGCATTGTTTAAGCTTTCTGGCATTTTCAGAGTCTAGAGGTAAAAAACAAGTTAGTATTCACTGAATTGAGCTATTTTATGTATAAAACTATCTCTTAAATATTAGTTTCCCTGTATATTTATGTGCAAGTTTTATGAACTTAAAGTATTGCATTCTTTTTTACGAATGTGTTTAATATGCATATTTTCTTTAGGGACTTAGTCATGTGTTGAGAAAGCAAGCATGGAAATTTCTTTTGGGTTATTTTCCTTGGGACAGTACCAAGGAGGAAAGAACTCAATTACAAAAACAAAAAACGTAAGTAAGATCTTTTGTGTATTCATTAAAGAAATTCAGATAACTCACCCATACAGATTAGTATAGAGCATCTAGATGATTATTTTAAATAGATGAGGGTATGGGAAAATAATTTTATTTTCATCTTTTTAATTGAAAAATCATGAGCTCTGTACTTACTCAAACTAGTCATTTCAAACACTCACTGCAGTTGTGTTGGTGAATATATAGAAAGATGGGGGAAAAAAATTCCAGTTCCCTTGTAAAAACATTTTGCATACTTGAAAAATAACTAACTAGATAGGATTTTTAAATATATCATTCATATTTATTCATTTTTGTAATTTATTATGAAATTATAAAAATGTCCCATAAGAAGTATATTTACTATTTAAGTTAATTACCTTTAAATTATTTTCCTGGTGCTCTTGTAACATAAACTAGTCTTTCATTTTTTTTGGAAGACTGGTTCTATTTTTAAGTAATTTCTCCGACTTGAAAAGAAAACTTAGACTGACTTTCCAGGTACCCTTCTTATTCCCAGTTCATCAGTCTAGCCTATGATTTAAAGCTCACTCTGAATCATTATGTGCATATTTAAACTTTCAGACAGTCCTTTCTCTTTCAACACATTTGCCAGTTCTTTTTTATTTTATTTATTTATTTGAGAGAAAGAGAGTGAGCGAGAGAGAGAGCACAAGCCAGAGGGGAGAGGCAGAGGGAGAAGCAGACTCCCCTCTGAGCAAGGAGCCTGATGCAGGGCTCGATCCCAGGACCCTAGGAACATGACCTGAGCCTAAGGCAGAAGCTTAACTGACTGAGCCACCCAGGTACCCCAATTTGCCAGTTCTTCTAAGACATTTCACATTAACAAGTTTGTGAATAAACTGGCTAGACAATGGAAGTCTTATGTCACATTAAAAAAAAATAAACAGCAATTTGTAGATTTGCATTTATAATTATTCAGAAACTTTAGTGGTTAAAATATTTAATAACTAGAATAATTTTAGGTATATTAAGGATTGAGGTGAATGTTTTCTTAAAATCATACCTAAATTATTCGTTTAAGCAAAGTTTATGGTATGTATAAGGTTATTTAATTTTTCCTTTATTTTCACTTACGAATTGTAACTTTAAACATTTCACTATCATATTTATAACCTCACATTTCACTAGCATCATAAATGCTTTGATATATTGTTAATAGGAAAACCCAATCAGAATTTTTAAAAATACCGTGTTCATAGCTTTTTTTGGTATAAAATTGTTTTCTGTAGTGACGAATACTTCAGGATGAAACTACAGTGGAAATCTGTCAGCGAAGAACAAGAGAAGAGAAATTCGAGGTTAAGAGATTATAGAAGTCTTATCGGTAATTTTTTCCTAATTTTGGAAATGTGTGAGAGGGGTCTACAATGAAGTCTTGATAAGATTGAAGAAGTGAAGATATATGCAGAGATAGGGCTCAAAAGAGAAATCAGAATTGGAGAGTACATTAGAATGTGTGTTAGATGTTCTTGGTTGTTCCTTTTCCAATAGGAATATGAGGTCAGTCAGTATAAGTACTGATATATTTCATTTCAAGTTCCAAAATGTGAATTTAAAAAAGGTTTATTTGCTTATGGAATTAATTTCATTAAAAAAATTATTGTCTCCCTTACTACAAAAAGTTTGTGTTTATTAATAGAAAAATTAGGAACTATAGATCAGCAAAAAGAAGAAAATAAAGTTTAGTTTTGTTTCTTTCATCCAGAGATAACTATAGTTAATAGACATTGGTTTATATCCCTCCAGACCATCTCTAAATATGCATACATTTCATTTTTTTAATAAATGACTTCAGATAATAAATTTTTGTCAGTGTTTTTGAGAATTGAATAACCATTATCTAGGAATAACTATTTCATAAAAAAGAGATGCTTGACAGAATTTTACATTAAAAGAATTAGATTTATTTCCAAAGAGTGAGTACTGGGTTCTAGCTCTTATGATAAAGGCCAGGTTGGTATAACTTATTGAGAGAATGCATATTTACTGCTGTACATGTCTCTAAGTTTTTGTTGATAATCTCCATTTTACAAAAGAAAACTGAACCATTGAAAGCATAAATGACTTGTCCAAGATCACATGGTTAAGGGCAGTAGCCAGTTTTAATACTCTTAACTATCTTATTAGCTAGCCACTATGTAATTTTAGGATAGCTTTGGATAGTAGTGGAACTTATTTTTAAAATTCTGATAATTGCTTTTGGATTTATTTATAGCTTCATAAATAAAGATGGGGGATGTTTTTACCACCATGGTCAATACCACCTTCCCATGGAAGAAGAAAATCTCTAAATTATAGTTGGAAAGTGCAACATAACCAGTTTGGTAGCTTTTTTTTTCTTTTTTAAAAGATTTTATTTGAGAGAAAGAGCA